ATGATTATACTACTATAAATATAATAGATTACTCACATTTCATTTTTTATATCCATTTTACTTTTTCTTTTTTAAGGGATATTGATAAAAATGCACCTTGACTTCATCTGAAAATGACAATACAAGAGCATTTTTTTTGTCATCAAAATCAAAAGACAAATGCATTTAATGAACTAACGTAGAGATCCGGAAAAAAGAAACTAACACATATAGTATGGGGCTAACATAAGTCAATTATTATTTAACACATGCAGTGGGGTTAGAGTTTTAATTTCTAATAGTTATATAGTTATGCTTATTATGGCCATACTTTTTAGCTTTACTAGAGTTATGAGTTTATGCCTAACTTTTGACACGTGGTAATGAGAGTTTTTGGTTTTTGTGGTTAATATTTATAGTTGTAAATTTTAAATTTAAATGGTTAACACTAGTGATTTTGTATTTGGAAAACAAATTGAATTTTTGAAGTATTATATTTTTTAAAAGAATTAAAAGAGTAATTTATTTATTTTTAATTTAATAATGCTTATAATTTACCAAACTAACACAAATCAGAGACTCAAGTCAGTGTATTACAGCTTTTAAAAAATTGTTGATGAATCAATTCTGACCATTAAATATACAGATTTATATGGGACCAGTCAAAGGAGGTTGGCTATTCCGCTTAATAATTACAATTACGCTTTAAGTTGTAGATACCGATACCTGTTTTGGTCTGCTTTTTTACCTTACTTGATATGCTTCTTAGTTGGTCTGTTTTTTTCTCAATGGGATTACTTAACACAGTTTAAACTTATTTTAAATGCATATAGCTTAGTTTAGACTTATGTTGAATGCATATTTGTACTTTATGACTGCAATTCTTGTTATGCTGAAAATTGGGGGATAAAAGTTCTTTCTGTAATGGATATGTTGCTGAGAATACTAAGTTGAAAATTTTGAGCTTACATACATATTTGATTTGTTTTACTGGTTTTTATCTTCTTGCTATGGTAGTTGAATGTCTACGGCTTTTGTGATTGTTATTTTATGAATGAAGAACCCAATTGGGATGGGCTCTTGATTCGGTTTAATAACGGTAACATTATAATATTTACATATTACCGTCAAAGCCTTATGTCTGATTTTACGGTATCCTTGTCAATATCATCTTAATGGGATTTCTAAGCTGATTAATTGAATTGAAGTGTCAGGGTGAGTCATGTTGTATTGAACCAAATTAGCACTGTCACGAAACTGAAATTAGTAGGTTTGTTATCTCTTGCATTGCTCATTGAGCCACCATGATGCTGATTGGAGTGTTATGAGACATATGAACTACCTGTTATATTACTGTTAGGAGTTTATTTGAACATGAGGTTAGTGACAATTGTTGTGGAGAATTAGCTTGAAGCAAACAGTTAGTGAATTAAGTTTTGTTGATGTTCAATCTCTGTTTGAAGTTTCTATGCTGCTTAATATATGTTACTTTCTTGTCTGATATGTAGCTGAAGGATACTACTCCTTTTGATGAGAACTACTAGTGGTGAAATAGTGGAGACTTTACCAAGATCCTTTCAGGTACATATATAAATAAATAACATTGGATTTCACTATTATGTTTATCATAGGTGTTAGAGTTAGAACTAAGGATTTTCTATTAACAGGTACATAGTGAGATATGCATGGAATTGATGAGTATTGGATGATATCATGAGGATATTTCCAGACATAGAGGATGCACGACCAAGATGTTCATCAGGAATAGAATCTCTGGTTTATCTGAACAAAGCAATTGAGAAATCCAAACTACTTTTACAACATTGCTCTGAATGTAGCAAACTCTACCTGGTGTGTGTTTTTTTCTTCTTCTGAAGTGTGATGTGCAGGTTTCTAGAATAATTGATGATCTTGGGCGTGCTACATTTGTTTTGGACTCTGCTGAAGAAGAGGCTGGGAAAGTTTTAACAGAGTTGCTTCAGCAAGGTACTTCGAACTTGGATTCGGTGGAAGATTTTGAACTTAAAGCTCTTCAGTTTGCTGCACAGAGACTGAACATAACATCACAAAGGGCCTTGTTAGTCGAGGGACGGTCTATTAATAAGTTGCTAGATAAAATTGGACCAAATGACCAGAAAATTACAAAATTAAGTATTGTGCTTTAGTTGATGTAGAGAGCTGCTGAAACAGAGCTTCTGACGAGATTTCCATATGGAGGTAAGTATTCAGTCTCCTACTTTACTAATCCATATGGAGGTAAGTGTTTTTCTGTCCATGGGAGAAGCTATTGATGCGATACTTACTGCTAAAATGGCTACCGTATAAAGTACTCATTGCCCAAAATATAAAGTTATATATGAATACAATTTGGTTTGTAATTTTTCAAATTGTATTTTAATATATTTTTCAAATTGTAATTTAGAAGTTATATACTTACTGCTAAATTCAAGTGTGATTGAAGCTGGTATGTTTAGCTACTGCAAGTTAATACGGCGTCGATGCCGAGCAACGGTCAAAGTTGAATCTTGTGGAGAGTCATGTATATTTCTTCATGGAGTATGCCATTGAGAAAGGCATTGTCTATGTTAAATTGTTGGATATCCCACTTATATGTGATGGCTAGTGTGAGCCATAAAAATTACATGTTGCTGAATTTGTTGTATTTCTTATTAATTGAATTGAAGCCTTTACTTTGATGCACTCTAAATGTTTGATGAAATGTCTCAATGTGTTTTTGATATGTTTTTTGGAATTCCTTTATTGCACTCTAAATGTTTGATGAAATGTCTAGGTGTGCAATTTTTACAGAAATCCTTTATTGCACTATAAATGTTTGATGAAATGTTTCTATGTATTTTTAATATGTTTTTGTAATTGTTTTTGTAGTGATGGCATTGGTGGTAGGTTGAAATGGGAAGGTGAAGAAATTGGCGGTTGGCAAAGTTGATGGTAGGGGTGGTTTGGATACAAATGGTTTATCTACAAATGGTTGTTATAAATTACTATTGGATACGTGGAAATTTTGAGAGGAACTAGAACAGTGTCGGCATGATGAAGTGGAGCCACAGGTCTCTGCGGTCCATGCTCTGAAATTTATTATGATTTTCATCCTGAGAGGGGATACGATGATGCTGTAAGTAAGATACAGTTAGAAATTGAGTTATTCCAAATCACTTCATTGACAATGTTTTACATTTTTTGGGATGGGTTGGGGATGGAAGCAGGACCTTGGGGATGATACACGCTTTATAGAGTTCTACAATCTAGTATTCATGCAATACAACAAAAAAGACGATGGTTCTCTTGAACCACTAAAGCAGATGAACATAGATACTGGCCTCGGTCTCGAGCGCATGGCTCGCATTCTTCAAAAGGTATTGCATTTATTTGAACTGTTGTACAAGTCACCCTTTGTAAATTTACAAGTGTTTCTAAGAAACTTCAACTACAACTCTGGTATTTCTGCACCAGTTTTTCTTGCTCCATACTTTACACCCTCACTTGCATGTTGAGAAAAAATGGGGCAAGGAAAAAAGGTGTGAATGAAACATTACTCACACCACTATCATTTTCATTTGCTCTTCAAATGCTTTTTATATTTATTAAGTGTTCACTGCAGGTTCCAAACAACTATGAAACTGACTTGATTCTCCCCATTATAGAGAAGGCATCTGAATTAGCAAATGAGTTGGAACGTCTCACTCGTGTTTTCACTCAAAATTCATGATCTCATTGGCACTCATAGAGATGTTCCTGCTCCTGATATGGGAACCAATGCTCAGACAATGGCTTGGATGCTTGATGAGTATTCTAAGTTTCATGGTCATTCACCGGCAGTGGTGACCGACAAGCCTATTGTAAGTGTATAATAATATTGCACAATCATTACCAACTGTAGCTTTAAGGTCTTATTTGAGTGGTCATAGTTTTCTTGTGTACACAATGATAGTTTGTCTATCCCAGATTCAAGAAATCAGTTTGAAATATTTGGCTTGTAGGATCTTGGAGGTTCCTTGGGAAGAGAGGCCGCCACTGGACTAGGAGTGGTTTTTGGAACGGAGTCTCTATTTGCTGAATATGGGAAATCAATTTCTGATATGAAATTCGCCATCCAGGTATTTATTCACCACCACCACCATACCATGATATTTAATATACCACTTTTTCAATAAGTCTACACTATTCTGATATAAAATTTACAGAATAGTGGGGAATATGGGAAATCAATTTCTGATATATTTTACAGAATAAGTCTATACATCCCTGTACAGCACGTAGGATTACAATATTTTACACTTTCATTTGTGAAAATTGAGGTTTTGGACTATCTCATGATTTGAAGAATTGATATTTAACAACGCTTGTTGGGACATTTGAAGTCTTCTGAATGATTCACTAACAATTGTTCAAGCATGCCATGTTGTCAACTAATATAATGGATCATATGCTTATATAATTTTTGTCGTGCAGGACGAAATCAAAATAACAGGTGTCACAACTTTTGTCAATCCTTACACCGAACCAGATGAGGAAGAAGAGCAAGCTAATGCCGAAGAGAAGAATGCAAATGATGAATAAAATGTTTGTTTCCTAATATTTGAGATGCCTATTATTGGTTATATTTTATATCACTTTTACAAGGTTTTTGTGAACTAATCCCTTGGACTTGTTTTGGCATATATTTCAGGATAAAGTTAGCTCATGGTATAGTAATCTTGGAGCCGGAACATCTGAGTCTGGAGCTACGGGGGTTGGCAGTGGTGGTGTTGGCAAGTACATGAAGGCTAGAAGTGTTCCAACTGAATCTGCTGCTGCTGTCGTCGACACTGGTACAGCCGTTGTAGGAAAGAAAAGAAAAGCAGTTGTCAGTGGCGGATTTAAAGATTTTTCTGCATGGTAGTAATTATCCCAAATTTGAGTACAATTTGTAAATCAGTGTAGACTTGTAATAATTTATCATATTCGAAAAATTTACAGAATAGTGGGGAATATGGGAAATCAATTTCTGATATAAAATTGAAATGATTTGTTTGTTGCAAATTCTGTCTAAGAAAGGAGTTATTATATTACCCGACATTTATGCGAATGCTGGTGGAGTGATTGTAAGCTATTTCGAATGGGTCCAGGTAATGATCAACTCGATAAGTGAAAATTTCAAAAGCTAATTAATAGTTCTTGAAAATATGTTTAAGAGATTTTAAATTTTCCTATGTGACTTCTGCAGAATATTCAAGGATTTATGTGGGATGAAGATAAAGTTAACCTTGAGCTAAAAAGGTATATGACTAGAGCTTTCAAGAACATAAAAGGAATGTGTAAAATTCACAACTGCGACTTGCGAATGGGAGCTTTCACTCTTGGACTCAACCGTGTCGCTCGCGCTACGCTTTTGAGAGGTTGGGAAGCTTAGAGAAACATGAACATCAATCACTACTAGCTATAAGCTGTAGTTGGAGTTTCTTAGTTTTTGCATCGTTATTTGTCTCTTCTATTCTTTTAATTCATTTGTTATCTAGTTTGAAATTGCATTGTTTTTTCTTATTAATTTGGTTGGACAAGTGATTATTAGTAACTTGATTATATCATTTTTAGTAATGTAACTCTAAAAGTACTTGTTATTGACTTTAAAAATTTGAATGTGATTAGTGTTGTATTGACTTATTCAAATTAGATTTTTATTTTTATATTATTATTAAGTACATTAATTATATTATTTTAAATATGAATTAAACACAATTAATAATAAAAATTAAAAACATAAGAGAGAAATTACCTGTGAAATTAATTATATTATTTCAGTTTGCTGCGACTTTTCCTGCAAAAGTAAAAGTTACCTGCGGTATTACCTGCGAATTTAGCTGTTTTACTTGCGACCTTGCCCTGCGACTTTTTACTGCGTCATTTTCCTGCGACACTTTCCTGCGACATTTTACTGCGATTTTTTCCTGCGACTTTACCTGCTATGTTAATTATCCACGGAGGTTTTAGCTGGAAACGAATAATCTCAGGAAAAATCGCAGGAAACGTGTTTCCTGCGGTAATTTTGTCAAAATCCGCAGGTAAATCCGCAGGAAAACAGAGTAATTTTAGTAGTGTGAGTTGAAACAATCTTGAAATCAAGATTGATTGAGTGAAAATCTCTATAGATTGTGGTTGAATTTTCAACAATTAGGAGGATTTTATAGTATTATATATATATTTATGATACCTTAATTTAACGTAGACTTCACTTTATAAGTTATAAAATTTATCAAGTGACATTTACTACTCTTGGGTCAATGCACATAAGATTTTTCATTTTATGTTATCTTATTTTATGCATTATTGACGATTTTAGAAAAAATACACTTACCGTCAAGCTAAAGAATAGATAATAACAAGATTATGTCTCTAAAAGCCGACGCTATATATAGCGTAAACTCGACACTACATTAAACTGAGAGTGAGAAGAATTCTCTATCTTAAAATAAAATGATGATAAAGACTGTAGTTTTCTCCGGCGATATTAATGTTTCCACAGTGTGAGAACTTTCACAGTTTTCTCAATTAAAAAATTGTTTTTTGTTGTATTGAGGTTTATGATTAAACTACTCTTAACTTTGATTTTTAAGCAATATGAAATTATTTTGATCAACCTGAAATAGAAATGAAACATATGCTGGATATCTCTTACAAACTTTTGTTAATCTTCACACATGTAATTTGTCTATTCAATCGGGTTGCTTCTCCATGTTGATTACAAACTCATAATTGATGGAATAATATTGTTTAAATCATGGAAATCATTAAATAAAAGTAATAACGGGATGATTATTACTTTTAAATGATTTTTCATCAAATTAAATGATTAAAAAAATGATAATAGTTGATTTAATTTGTTTTTCTAAAATATTGTTTTAAGTATTTTATCTTTTTATTATATATTCCTTAAATATTTAATTTTAAAAAAATCAGTTAAATTTAAAGTTATTTTATATAAATATTTATAAAAATCATTGTAGATATTAAAAAATATGTAATTTTGACTATATTTTAATTTTTAATATTTATACTTATCTTATTAAATTACAAAGTAAATATTTAAATTTATAAGAAATGAGTTTAAATTTTTTTTAATATTTTAAAAATTCTTTTTAAATGATTAGTTTATATATATATAAATAAAGATTATGTACTCCTTATTATAATATGTTGTGAAAAATGATACTTTGAAACAAAATATAAATAATTTTTTTATCGGTAAAAAACACACAAATGTTAGGGTTAATGAAAAAAAAAAAACTAAGATTGATTGTAACTGTTATTGTTTAGTTTTTCTTTGAATCAAATTACAAATACTCAAAAATAAGAAATAATCCTCTCACCCTAATTAAAATTTGTCACACTTAAAATGAGAGACTAATATGCTATTTAGAGTTTGTTTGGTAAGGCAAAAAAAAGAGCTTATAGCTTTTAGTTTTTCACCTCATTTTAATTAAAAAGTTATGATAGTTAACTGTCTTTTAGCTTATAGCTTATAACTTTTTAACTAACTTTTAATTTTTTTTCTTTTATATATATATATATATATATATATATATATATATATATATATATATATATATATATATATATATATATATATATATATATATATATATATATATATATATATATATATATATATATATATATATATATATATATATATATATATATATTAATTTAGCAAATGTTTTCTCTACTTTATTATAATAAACATTATTTTCATTTATTAAATATAAACTATATAGTTAGTTTAGAAATAGTGTTAATAATATATAATTAATTTAGAAAGTTGATAATTATCAAATTAGTGAAACATTGAAAAAGAATAAATGAAATCAAAAAAGGTGAAGAAAGTTCAAAGTTTTATTGTAAAATATTAAACAATAAGTTTATTTTTAATATAATTAAATTTAAAATTATAATATTATTATTTCACATATTTTATTAAATTTTATTATAAAGTTTGGAAAAAAACCTATATTTTATGAAAGAATGAGTTAACTAGATCAAGAATTGTAGTTATTAAGATTACTTACTTTTGTGTCATCATAAATGACTTTATGAAATACTCCTATTTCATAATTTGCTGGTTCTTTTATTCGTTGAATTTCGTTCTCAATATATTCATAATAAATAGCAAAACTCATAAAATTTATATATAAATTTATATATTTTGATGATATCTTCAATTTTTATATATATTAAAAATTGTTTTGCATGTTGTTATTAATACATTTACTTTTATCGAACAAAAATTAATTTAATAATATAATATAATAAGATAATAAAATCACCAATTTCTTAATTAAAAATGTCCTTTTAGGTCATTTTGTAATTATCAGTTAGTGTAACAGTTAATTTATGAAACACTCAAATTAACTTATTAGCTACCAGTTATCAGCTATAAGTTATAAGCTATGAGTTAGTGTAACAGTTTTTTTATCAAACAGAGCCTTATAATAAAACCTAACATATTTAACTAATGAGTTTTTTTAACAATTATTCATTACAAACTAATTTAGCATACAAGTTAACTTAAACAATTGAATCTTTAACAAAAGACTTAATTCAACAACTACATATACTAAAACATATTTCGACTACAACATGTAGGTTTTCGACAATAACATGTAAGCAGACTTTGACAGAATACTAAACTACAGTCCGATTTAATATCTCACATAATAAATAAAACAGAAAATGCAAAAAACTAGAGATGATATAAAACAAGTTTTTTTTTTAATGGCTAATAAAATACAATGCAACAACATAAAATTTAAATTTTTATCTTTTCTAATTATACATTTCTAAGAATATTGATTCAGGTGTGTTTCCATACAATATTTCTTTAATTATACAATGGATGCGTGCAAATGCAATGGTAAGAAATGGATGTGCATTTCCCTTCTAAAAAACCTTTATCATTACAGGTGCGGACGCATTCATCTTCACTGCATGAATGTCCTTCTGTTTTCATCAACATCTCTGCATTCATTCATCAAAATAGATTATGATTAACACAAATACATATATTTAAAAAACTTTTGTTTATATTTTTGAAAAGAGTCTTATTTTTAAAAATGTTTCATAAAACACTTTTTTCCTCTTGTAAAAATGTTTGTCTTTTAATATTGATAAGAATAATAAATACTTAATTTAAAAATTAAAATTAAAATTATATTGAACCACCCTAATTGAAACTTATTTTAAAGAGGAGAAAGAAGACTTACCAGAAAAAAGAAAAATAAGCAAAATGAAAAATAACTTAAAATGTGTCTTGTTCATGATTATCGTATTCTCATTACAATGTTGGATTGTCTATTTATAAGATGGAAGGTGTAAACACTTAGTACTATTTTTATTTGAAAGTTTTGGCTTTTGATTTCATTTCATAGGTAGTGTTCCTTCGATTATGAAATTAGTTATAAATAATTTATTTGAACTCTCTTCGAGCATATAAAAGAATTTTAAAAGCCTAAAAGTTTTAGGATAATTAGTTAAATTTTATTCGATCATTAATAACTAATAATAGTAGATGACTTATTCGAGTGTATCACATAATTTGCTTTTAAAATCATGCAACCATTACATATAATTATCCAATTATCCAATGTTTCTATAACAATAATTACAGCTACAAAATACATAAAAACAAATATCTTAAGATATAGAATCAAAACTTTAGTTGTTTTATAAATTTTTTAGATTGAATGGATATTAGAGGTGTGAAAAAAATTAGTCTTGTTAATTAAATTAGTATTTAAATTGTTTCATTTTTAAAAATTTAAACCAAATACTAAAATATAAATGTGGTTATCTATTTTGTCATTTAAATATAAATCAATTTTCATAATAATAATGTGGTTTAGTTATTAGGTATTCAAAATTCATTATTTGTTAAATTAATATATTTGTCTCTTTTCATGTTTCTTCGTATACACAATATAACCAATTTTATATTTTGAACTATTTAAAAGTTAATTTTTTTAATTTCATAAAAAAAAATTATTTTGCAATTTTCAGGGACTCCATCAACTTCCAATATAGCAGGTCCAAATTTCTATATTGCCTATTCTTTGGATATGCTATCCTGGCTTGCATACCATCTTTACTTTTCCCACATCCTGTTCTCCTATATAGATGACACTTTGGGATTCCCCTTCCTGACTTTTTGGTTACGATCTTCTTCATGCTCTGAGAACGTATGCCTTTTGAAAGAGCTTTCTATGATTTCCCTTCATCTTGATATGTATCACATCCCTTTCTTCTATGTGGAATTTCCTCTGCATCTCCCTTGGCTAGGGTTTTCGTTTGCCACAGGTCCTGCTTTTCTTCCATAATTAATGTAGTCATTCAGGACATTCTTAAATTCCCATAAATAGC